GCCATCTCATCACCTGGTTCAGACAAAGTCAGACCTGAACACCTGAAGAACCTGCTGTCAGTACTCATCAATACACTGGCCAGGCTCTTCCTTCAAACTACAAACTCATCCTTCAAATTTCCAGGAGCTACTGATGTTGATGTTAGTTACTCCTTTCTTGGGAATATTTGAGAGGTGGAATTGGGGGTGGATTTGTTGAGATTTATTGGAATGGAGGAGGGGTCATATTTGGATGTCATGGATACAGATGGTTTCTGCTCTTCTCTATCAGCTCTTCTCTCTGCCCAAGTGATCAATTTCAAATGTCTCTGTCTGGAGCACTCAACACACTGCATAATAGGGTCTACTAAGCTTACTTCATTTTCTGTTACTTCCCAAATGTGGATTCTCCTTTTCACTCAGATCTGCTATTTTTCTATCTACTCCAAACATTTGCCTAATTCTCTCTCTCTGTCTCTCTCTCTCTCTCACACACACACAGAGTCTCTCCTAATTTTTGGGCCACACCCAAGCCAATAGGACGTTTGCCTTGCATGTGGCTGACCCGGGTTCGATTTGTCTGTCCCTTTCGGAGAGCCCAGCAAGTACTGAGAGTATCCCGCCTGCACAGTAGAGCCTGGCAAGCTCTCCGTGGCAAATTCGATATGCCAAAAACAGTAACAAGTCTCACAATCTAGACGTTGCTGGTGCCCGCTCGAGAAAATTGATGAACAACTGTAGGATAGTGCTATAGTGCTACCCAGGGTAGAGGCTGCTTTTGGTGCTGTGTTTGGAGGTCACTCCTGGTAGTGCCAGGGATCAAACCTGCGCCTCCCGTGTGTAAAACATATCAGCCTGTTGCTCCTGCTAAACTTGGGGAGCTTTTGATTTTGTTTTTGCCATACAATTTGAGAAAGATAGGTAACATTTAGAGTCTTAGGATCTCATTTTCTAAGTGCATGTAATTAATGAGATTAAGTGAGATAATTTCTGTTAGGACCACAGCTTGGTAAAAAATATATAGGAGACCCATGTTTGTTCCTTTCTTCATTTGCAACCTACAGGTCAAGTACAACTTTTTTCAGTGAATTTTTGGTTATAGAATAGAGTGATATATGATATAAAATATGATATGATATATGATATATTTAAAAAAACTCTATAGCACTTAGTATTAAATCAATAAGTATTAAATCAATCATAAGCAAAATAAAAAATACCAATCTTACTGGTTTTGACTATATGATAAATTAGACAGTGTTAAGACCTAAATTTGGGAAGGCTGAAGGAAAATGAACACATAATTTTATATAATATTTTCAGTAAGATATATTCCATATAGTAAACCCACCCTTTAAAAATGCTTGATCAAAAAGTTTTTAGTATCTTCAGAAAGTTGTTCATCTTTTACAACTATCTGATTTTAGAATGTCATTCACCCTGAAAGAAGTGGGGTACATAATTATTGCTACAATAATTCCCTCTTCCGGGGCTAGAGTGATAGTACATGCTTGCTTTCTATGTGACCAGCCAGGACTTGATCTCCAGCACCTAATATGGTTCCCTGAGAACTATAAGGAGTGACTCCTGAGTGCAGAGCCAGGAATAACCCCCGAGCCTTTCCAGATATGACCTAAAAAAAAAAAACAAACAAAACCCAAAACAAAATCCAACCCCCAAAATAATTCTGTTTTCTTCTTTCTGCCTGGCCTTTAGACACTAACAATTTTTTTCTTTGTTTTTTTATTTTTCTCTTCTCCTTAAGTCCTTTGCATAGTTTATTCAGTGCAATGTTCTTTTTGTATGGACACAAGAAGACATGCTTTTGTAATGTGACTCTCAGTGATATTTCATTCCTGGGCATCCACTTTCTCAACTTAAGCCTCAGTTGCCCTCACTTCCTAGGGCTGGAGCGATAGCACAGCGGGTAGGGCGTTCGCCTTACAAGCAGCCAACATGGCCGACCCGAGTTCGATTCCTCCGCCCCTCTCGGAGAGCCCAGCAAGCTACCGAGAGTATTCGATATGCCAGACACAGTAACAACAAAGTCTCCAATGGAGACGTTACTGGGCCCGCTTGAGCAAATCAACGATCAACGGGAGGGCCTTTTTTATTTTTCTGGTTTTTGGGTTGCACCCAGAAGTGCTAGGGGAAGAGACACATGGAGTTCTGGGACTGAACTCAGAATTTTGCTCTTGACAAGCATACCTCTAGCTTTTTGAATTATCTCTCTGGTCTCTAAAATTTTTTATAATTTTCTTCTATTGATTGCACTCTTTTTTGTTTTGTTTTTTGGACCACACCCTGCCATGTTCAGGAGCCATAATTGATGCTAGTTGGGGGACCATACATAATGCTGGAATATGAACTTGTGTCTGGGCTGTACCACTTGCTAGGCAAGAGTCTTAACCTTTGTATTATCTCTCTGGCTCCCACTGCTTGCATTTTTTGATGTCATATCTAAAATATTGCATAACCCAAGGTCACAAATATTTAATTATATATTTATTAAATATATACACTCAAATATGTTTATTTTTAATATAATTAGGTTTTTTGGGGGAGAGAGACTCCCAAGTAGTGCTCTTAGGGTTTAAAGGCAGCCTAAGCAATGGTACGGAGATGATAGCTGAGTAGTTACATGGTTGACCTGACCAGAGCTGGGGATTTATGTGGGGAAGTGATGGAAAATGAAGTCCAGGCCCCCCCCCCAAGAAATTCTTTACCAACCTAGTGAAGAAGAAGGAAATAGTTATTACTTCCTATAACTTTTCCTTCTCTTTTACTGGAAGAAGGAAATAACCATGCACTGCGAACATGCAATGTTTTTCATTTTGTGATAGATCTTCCTAAATGATCTCACCCAACTCCTATGGCATTGTTATATTTGGCCCATTTTATAAGATAATAGCATAAGAATCTCTATAAAAACATTTCTAGTTGAATAGCAGAAGCCAAGTTAAAGCTCTTAGGGTTTAAAGGCAGCCTAAGCAATGGTACGGAGATGATAGCTGAGTAGTTACATGGTTGACCTGACCAGAGCTGGGGATTTATGTGGGGAAGTGATGGAACATGAAGTATGTTTGCACTTGCATTGAATTAAGATGGGTGTTTGTAGGCTTTTTGTAATGTAGGTAAACATTTATCATGAAGCACATGTGGCATCTTCAGAAAGACGTTAGAAGGGATTTATGATTAACGTTAATTGATTTTGGGAAGAGTTTAAAAGATAGAGGGATTTCTCTGGATGGTGTCAGAGAAAAATTCTTTGAACGGGCATCTTAATTTCTATCAAGAAAGCAGTTGGACTAGAGCTCTACTTGATAAAGGGGCAGCTGGCTCTCTTATTTGCCTAAAGAGGTGTTTGGTTAATTTTCTGTGTGGCTGTGACAGTTTTCTTAGTGGTAGTTATATTTGTACTGATTTGAAAGTGGTCTTGTTTTGATAAATCGTGCTCACATAGAGGTCTTGTCAGATATTGGCTTTCTAGAATCATGCTATTCCCCAGGGTTAGACTGTGGCTTGACTGGTGGTGGATGTGTGTTCCAAGGTCAATTTCTCAGCCACACGAAGACCTCACTGGCAGATCTAGGCTAGTTCCCTTCTATCATAGGTCTTTCATCTCTGTCACTGTTTGTTTGGGGTTAAAAAATTTAAATTTTTATTTTTTTGGTAACACTTGTGGTGCTCCAGTCTTACTCCTAGCTCTGTGTTTAGGGGTTACTCCTGATGCTGCTCAGGTGACTATATGTGATGTGGGAGATTGAACTAAGAGGTCAGCTGCATGCAAAGCAGGTGCTTAACCTTGGACTGTCTCTCTGACCTGGGCCTAGTAATTGAGAAAAAGAAATTCCTGTCCTAAGGAAGCTCCCTCAAGAGAAGTACACATAAATAAACTATACTATACTAAACTATACTGTGACACTTGTAATAATAAAAATGATTTAGTTTATTTATCTGTTTATTTGAGTTTTCAAGACACATTGCTTCTGCTTAGGGACTAGCTGGGCTTGACTTCATGCAAGGCAAATATCTTAATTCCTGTATTATGTCTAATAGAAATGTTAAAAGCAACTTCAACAAATTAGTATTTAATATATATGCAAGTTTTATTTCAAACTTCTTTTAAAAAAGAACTGTTTAATAACATTTGTTGAAATAATTTCACTTTCTAATCATGTAATTTTTACCCTATTAATTTATTTTTTAATTAAAAGTATCAATTTTTTGTTTTTAGGACCACACCTGGTAGTTCTTGGGGGTCACTCCTAGTGATGCTTGGGAGACCCTGGGTGCTGGGGGTACAACCAGGGTTCCTTTGCATACAAAGTGTGCCTGTCACCCTGCTGAGCTATTTTCTAGGCCCTCAACTATGATTTCTATTATCAAAATAGAAAGTATAATTACATAAGATTATTATATTGGGTAAAATAAAGGAGTAGATATCTGTTGAAGATTATACAAGTGTCTCATGGTGAGTTGAAAGTCACTATACTTTTAATTTTCATCAAGCATATGCAGTCTTTTGCTATATCAATTATATAAGCCTAAATAGAGACTGGAGAGAGATGCTCAGAAGGCTGGACCATATGTTCTGCATTTGCAAGGCTCTGAGTTCTATCCTTGGAAACATATGTGCCTTTCCCAGGCACTGCCAGGGGCATCCCTAGTAGCCCCAACAATTCACATTTTTAAGATTTATAGCATTTAAAAAATGTGTTGCTTTGATCCATGTTCAGTGGTTCTCAGGGTTTCCTCCTGGTTCTGAGTTCAGGGATCACTCCAGGTGGGGCTCAAGGGGACCATATATGGTGCTGATATCAAGCCTGGTTGTCCTGAAACCAAATGCTTTAACCACTGTACTAGCTTTCTGACACAATTATTTACATATTTTAAAATTAATAAAATTTTTAGGAAAGTCTAACATATAGTCTCATATAGCAGTCCCATGTTGTTATTCCAACAGAGACCTAGTAAAAAAAACTTCATTGCATGTTGAAGTATAACATGTATCTGTAAAATCATGAATTTTGACTTATTTTCATTCCAAACAGGACGTTCCTTAGGGCAAGTTTCATGTCTTTATTACGAAGACTGTAGATCAGGGGATTAAAGAGAGGAGTCATCACTGAATATATCAGTGTGAGAATCTTCTGCATCAAAACTGGAATTCCATATGTAGGACTCACATACATCACCATGACTGTCCCATAGAAAAGTGACACTACAGCTAAATGAGAACCACAGGTGGAAAAGGCCTTTCTCCGGCCAGCTGCAGAAGGGACCTGAAAAACAGTTCTGAGCAACAAGGTGTAGGATCGAAGAATGTATAAAACAGTGAAAAAGAGGACAAGGGAGCTCTGAGCATAAAAAATAAATTCAGTAATGGGGGCTGGAGCACAGGACAGAGCCATTAGTGGGTCCATATCACACAGAAAGTGGTCAATGATATTGGAACCACAGAAAGGGAGTTGGGAAATGAAGAAGATGGGGATGGGATAGCCAAGGAATCCAACAAACCAGCACAGAGACACCAGCATTCTGCACAGCTTCCCAGTCATGATGGTGGGGTAGTGTAGTGGGCGGCAGATGGCTAGGTATCGATCATAAGCCATTACTGCCAGGAACAGACACTCAGTTGTGCCCAGGGAAAAGAAGAAATAGAACTGGAGGAAACAGCCCGAAAATGAGATGGTCTTGGTTTTAGAGAGAATGTTGGCTAGCATGTTAGGGACAGTGGAGGACACATACCAGATCTCCAGGAAGGCAAAGTTTCCCAGTAGAAAGTACATGGGTGTATGTAGCCGAGGTTCCCTTCTCACAGCGCAGACAATGGCTCCATTTCCCAGCAAGGTTAAGACATAAACCACCAAAAGGAATGAAAAGAGGAAGATCTGTATCTCCCAGCAGCCAGGAAATCCCAGGAGAACAAATTCAGTCACAAAATGTGATGCTGACCTGTTCATGGGTCTTAAATCTAAGAAAAAAGATATAAATGTAACTCAAAGGTGCATTTGTTTTCTTTGTATTTCAAGGATTTAATTGGCAAAAGAAGCTAAAGTCTGTAGGAAAATATCTGGTAATATTCTGAGAACAGGCAAAATAACACTACTGTATTTTTAATTAATTATGGTTTTAAATCTCAAGAGCATTTTGCTGGAATCCAGTACAGCAAGAATTTCCAATTCAATGATAGAAACAAATGCTTTTAATTTTTTTCTTTGATCCTTAAGAAGCTCTTTTCTGCTTTTATTTCCTTGTTTTTAATGCTGATTCTGGGTTTCCATACACAAATTCATTAGTTTTCCATCATTCAACTTCGAGATAGCACGGTGGGTAGGGCGTTTGCCTTGCACATGGCAGACCTGGGTTCGAGTCCTCCATCCCTCTTGGAGAGCCTTGGCAAGCTACTGAGAGTATCCTGCCCACAAAGCAGAGCCTGACAAGCTCCCCGTGGTGTATTTGATATGCCAAGAACAGTAACAACAAGTCTCACAATTAAGATGTTACTGGTGCCTGTTGAGCAAATTGATGAATAACGGGATGACAGTGCTGCAGATTGTTGAAATAAAAGATGTGTTTTAATGACAGCTTGTATAAAATTGTGTTAAACCTTTGGCAATAAACAGAATTTTGCATTCATTGACAGAATTTATCTTTATTTACAAATAAAGCTAAAAATCTATTCAGAACACTGGCTTTTAAAAATATACATATAAATAGTTTAATCAACTGATTGAATTGCCACAGACACCATTACATTCAATACTCAAGCTTACTCTTAATTGTTCCCTTATATATTTTCTTCTTTTTTGTTTGGGGGGTGGGTACCATATTCAGTTGTGATTCTGGTCTACTCCTGGCTTAGGAGTTGTTGAAGGTTGGAATTGTTCCCATTCTGCTCAGGAAACCATGTTGTACCAGGAATCATACCCAGGATCCTGAATACAAAGCATGCACTCCCGTCTTTCAACAATCTCTTTTGCCCCAGGCTTTCCTTTTATTTTATATGTAAATATGTAATATATTTATGTTTTTTGGTCATCCTCAGGTGTTACTCCTGGCTCTGTGCTCAGGAGTCACTCCTGGCAGTGTTCAGGAGACTGTGGATGCTGGGGATCAAACCCAGAAACCTGCTGCTCTGGGCCCCAGAATTTCCTTTTAATTTGCTTTAGCTAGGTGAGTGATGTCTTGAGTGACATTGTAAGGTAAAGGTAAGGTAAAGGCCCTCCCGTTGATCGTCGATTTGCTCGAGCGGGCCCAGTAACGTCTCCATTGGAGACTTTGTTGTTACTGTGTCTGGCATATCGAATACTCTCGGTAGCTTGCCGGGCTCTCCGAGAGGGGCGGAGGAATCGAACTCGGGTTGGCCATGTTGGCCGCGTGTAAGGCGAACGCCCTACCTGCTGTGCTATCTATCGCTCCAGCCCGACATTGTACAATATATCAAATATCTTTTTTTAGAGAACAAGTGGATTTTACTTTTAAGCATCGGTTTGTGTTTATTTTCATGTTTTTATTCTCTCACACTCTAAAACATGAACTATATTTTGCTTTTACTATTCAGATTCTCCTTGAATAAAATAAAGAACATGATACATTTATATATATTTGTGTTTGAAAACAGATAAAAGGATATTGGATCAAATGGGGTTTTAGAATAAATCTGGTAGAATAAATAAATGATTTTTTTTCTGAGAGGAAATAAGAATATTTTCAAATTTTGGATGTGCATTTAATTTGTAGTAGTATTTTAGCATTTATATTTAAGAATTAAGATGTACAAATCCTGTATTTAAAAAACAGAGTAATTATGTGATTGATTAGTATTTAAAAAGCAATGATTAAGCCTTAAAAATAAAATGATAGTTTTGAAATAACTTCTCTTGTTAAATTCAGATCTCTTGCCTTGTGCATTAAAATTCACTAGTCATAACATTCTCAGAAATGGAAGAGAAAGAAATTTGAAAAATAATGAATAAAGAATTTGAAAGAATTGTGTGTGTGATCCATGAGAACCAAGATATATTTGGGCTTTGCTATCATTAGTACCTGGCTGGGTAATTTCTTTAGTTTTTGTGCCACAACTGGTGGTACTCAGAGGCTATTCCCTACTCTGTGCTCTGGAGTGATTCCCTGGCAGTGCTCAGGGGATCATATTTAGTGCTGTGGATGGAGTATGTGATGATCACAAGCAGGGAAAACACTTTACTTTTTGTACACTCTCTCCCTGGCCTCTGTTGATTTCCAAGGAAGCATAAAAGAGAGGTCTGAAAATCTAACCTTCCAGTTGTCTAGTTTTCCAATCAGTGCTGAATTCAGAAGACATCTATTCCAGACTATTATGTATAAAGCATAAGTAAGTCACCTTTCCTGCTACAGGTCAGGAACTAAGTCCAGGCTTACAGATTTAAATCAGGAGCCAGAGTCATAAGACTTATCCTTTTCTCTGAAAATTGTAACTTGTCTGCTTAATATGAATGATAGCTTAGAATACAGTCTACATATGTGTTGATAATATTTCATATAATTTTATTTTTTCTATACACATGTGTTGTGAGATTTGCTAGCAGTAACATTAATCTTCCTAGGTCTTTGGGTAGAGTGTCGATAGATAAAGGATGGTGATCTAAAGAGTGGGGGAAGGTTTAAATATAAAAACCAGAGTCATCACTTTTCATTTTAATCCTTGATATAATAGCTTAAGTTCTATATAACTCTAACCTCCAAAGCCTCCAAAATTATTTGGTGGGAATAGTTAAAATATTATAATAGAATATACATCATTTAATGCCAATATAATAATACACTGTTTCTCAGGCTTTGGGGATTAATAAATAACTATATAAACCGCAGTTCTAGGGAATCATCTCTTTTATACAGTTCTTTCCAATGCAGAAAACTAACCAGTGAGAAAATCAGCCAACCAGCCAGTCTACTCACCTCAACAATAGTAGTTTGGATGAATATGTTTATTCCAAAGTGTCCTCACTTGGAACTTTATTGTCAGGCACTCTGAATGAAGAATATGCCACCTAATTACTCCTGAAATGAAATTGTTTTCAGAAAGAGGATAGCTAATTGGCATAAAATTATACTGGGAAAAAAGGTACAGAAAATATTCTCTGCTTATTGGTCTCAGAAAAGATGTATGAACTTTAATACAATGAATTTATGTGCTATGTTTATATTTTCATAGAGGAAGAACAAATAGATGCACTCTGTAGTGTTTAACAACAGTGACATTTTCTCTTACATTCAACGATGGATTTTCTGATTCAGCTTGGAGAAAAGGATGATACAGTAGAATTGAACATCACTCTAGCAGCAGGCATATCCTCTTCATTGGCTTTGATGAGAAAATCTCCAGATGAGGGCATTATGTGGTTAATTGAACACCCTTCATTTCTGGAAGCTCCAGAGGCTTGTTTGCTAAGAGTTTGTTGAGATATTTATCATGTGAAGAGTTTGATTTGTTTCCCCTTAAGGGTTACTCTGAAACTGTTTCTCCCCAAGCAGTCTCTGACTCTGTCACATTTCCCCTTGAGTATACCCATTTATTCTTTCTTTGAGAATCATCTCCACTGTAGTAGATTGGTTCCTAAGGGGTGGTTAGTGTTAAGGAAATAGAGAATCAAGAAGAAAAACTGGGTAAATTCTAGAAGGCTTTACACTGCTGAGATTATTTTCCATTAAGGGATGACTCTTCTGTGGGGATCAGTGCAATGAATGGATGTTTTGTCCATGACTCTCTTCTGGAACTGAGACATGTTTATGAATAAGCATTTCCTCTCTAGATTAAATGCAGTGCTACAAACCAGAAACAGGAGATGGTATTATGTTTGTCTTTTAAAAATTAAATCCATTAAAATTTTCTGTAGTTTTACACTGTGATTGGGTTGGTACCACGAGGTAACTGCCATGGGTGATCTAATTATGCTGTGATCTTAATTGAGGTAAAAGGAAATCAAAGATGGCAGAAATCACTTGAAGAACTCATCTAATCAAATTGTCAATTTTCACTGTGATTTAACTTTTATAAGAATGGTGAAGAGATTAGGCTTCAGTTTTTTTAAAAAAGTAACTCAGTCTTTTTTTCCCCTATAAAATTGGGGTTTCTGTCTAGGGTCCTCACAAATCAATTCTTGAAAATATGACTTGCAGGTAAAATAGACAGTGATATCAATGAGAATAGTTGCTGATGGTTATTGAAACAGTTTGTACAATAAATTTGCTATTTACTGAAACCCTATTCATTAAGTATTCTTGGCTCCCTTGTCAAATATTTTTCGCCTTACATATGAAAGATTATTTTTGGATCCTGGATTCTGTTGCATTAATCAATATGTCCATTTCCCTGCCAGTGTCATACTCTTTTGATTACTATAACTTTGTAATAGATTTTGAAATCAGAAAGTTTGATGTTATCAGTTTAATTATTTCTTAGAATTTAGGCTATTTGAGATATTTTATGGCTCCATAAAATATTTAGAGTTGTTTTCTTTTTAGATAAAAATATAATTGGAATTTTTATAGAAATAACATTGAATCTGTTGCTGTCTTTGGACAGTATGGACATTTTATACTATTAGTTCTTTCAATCTAACAGTATGGGATATATTTCCACTTATTTGTATCTTATTCAATTTTTCTCACCGGAGTCTTAGTCTTATAGTTTCCAGTGTACAGATCTTTCAACTACTTGTTAACTTAATTCTTAATTATTCCATTATTTTTGATTTGTGCTAACTTTCATTTGTGCTAACTTGGTTGACAATCATTTTACAGTGTATAATATATTAAATCCTCATGGTATGTATATTAATTTTTAAAATTGAATCACTGTGAGATATACAGTTACAAAGTTGTTTGTGAATGGGTTTTACTCATACAATGTTCCAACACTCACGCTATTTATTTATTTATTTATTTTTATCGAATCACCGTGAGATAGTTACAAGCTTTCATGTTTGGGTTACAATCACACAATGATCAA